GAATCGTTGGGTCAGGAAATCGATACTGAATCGAATCGCCATGATGGATGTGATTTACACCCCTAGTGGACCACAAGGGAAAAAAGAAAAAGTAAAAAAAAAGTTGAAAAAAATATTATGCAAATTAGGCAATGACGTCATTCAGCGACTTCTTGCACAGCCAATAGCTACTTTCCTTACTGAGGAGTTGGCAACACTGTTTCCACAGAGAAATAATCTTTGAAGGCAGGATGGTAATCTGGATGAACTGACTGCACAGACCATGTTTTCAGGAGGACTTTCTACCTTCAACATAGATTCTAACTAATTTCCACCCGCTGATCACAGCTAATATAGCAAAGCTGCTCTCTGGCATTGAACACAGAAGCAGCAGAAGCATCTGGACTCACTTTACTGGACGTCTGACCTTAATGTGGACAAGCATCAGAAGTGAAGCAGCAGAAGCTTTTTTGCTGCTTCCAGTGCTAGCGGTCTGAACGTAGCATTATTCATTAAAATAAGCCAAGACACTTTCTCAATTTCATCTGCCATTGTTCCTGGCAGAGAAAGGATAAGGAAGCTCCTCCCAGCGCGCATCAGACCCACTTTCCCACCGCGCAGCTAGAGCAGCAAAGACGCTTCAGCCGAGCATCAGAACTAAACCTGTACAAGCATCAAAAATGAAGCAGCACGCGCTTTTTTGCTGCTCCTGCTGCGTGCGGTTCTACTTTTTTTTCTTGCAGTGCAAAATTAGGAAAAAATTCCAACCAAATAAAAGCTTTCACACACAATCTAACTGAAACCATCTGAAACGGATTTCACCCCTGAGGCACTAAAACCCACCTGACACCCACGACCGGTGGGATTAAAGGGACCAAACAGGAAGTAATCATGCAGCTGCCCAAAAGAAAAGGGGTGGAGCCCACTCAATTGTCTCCTCAAGGTTCAAAAGGGATATAAAACTAAAGTGGAGATGAGATCCTGAAAGAATGAAAACAGTATTTTCCTCTTTCATAAAGCAGTGAATCCCCTAATCAGAGCCCAGCCTTCTTCCCATAACTGCTTCTGACAATGTTGGGCTTTGTTAAAGCTGTTTTCTGCCTATGTATTCGAAAGCGTGTGAGAGAAAATAATGATTACTTACAGCCAAGTAGAGCATAGTAAACAGGGAAAAGGAGGCATGTCCTGAGAAGAAGGATTTCCTGCAGAGGGAGAAAGAGATTATTTTAAGCCTATTGTTTTCTCTATACATGTTTAAGAACTACTTTCATGTGCGTGCATTGTTGATTTTACATACCTGGCTTCCTGCACCTCACTCTCATCACCAGTGCACGTATAGTTGGTGACGTAACCAACACTGCAGTTTATGGTGGAGAAGTCTGGTCTGCAGACGTCTAAGAAGTGGGGTCTCATCCGACCCACAGACACCTTAGCGATGTCCGTGAACGACTGGCTGACGGCACAGCCGAAAAGAAAGACACCTATCTGCAAGACGATGGACAGAAGTGGTCAGTGAATGCATCACCTTACAAAATCTAAACATTACAGGCATGCTGTTAGGAATACAAACTTAATTATAGCAGAAAACTTTAAGGAATCTTATTTCTTCCATAGTGACTTTATTAGGATGGGTGCTGAGAACTTTATTAGATTCAGAAACATTCTTATTCCTAGATGACCTATTTATTTGCATGCAAACTATGCTTTAAGCTTATTTTAACATCCTGAACTCAGAAGATTATGATCTTTTTTAAAGGAACTATTAAGCTGAACAACATGAACACGCATTTTTCTTGTAATTTCATTTCCTTCAGCGCTGCAGCTCTTCCAACGTGCTCTTGCTGGTGGAAGAACGCCATCTCTGATATACTGCTACTAAAATGCAGCTGGTAATAAAATGTCATTGAATGTTGTCGGAGCAAAACAGGAGCTGACCTGTTTGTAGAGCGCCGCCACGTAAGCGTTCCCAACAAATGACTTTGTTCCCACGTGGAGCTGGTGAACCCTGAAGCATTCTCCAATCACAATCTAAAAGAAACATTTTGTTCACAATAATAAGACATATCCTTGTGAAGCTCATTGTACAACGAATTTACATGCAAGACACTATGATGCACTAAAACATGTTAATGTATTAGTATGTATCATGCAAAAAATCACTCATTTCCTGATGGGTGTGACATTTAGTAGAAGGTATGTAAAAGGTAGAGATAATAAGAGCTGCACACAGACAAACATATAGAGAAAGCATGGCCTGCCTTTCCATTAGGCAGTTTGAACAGATGAAGGTGAAATATGAAAGGGCTTCTTATAATGGTATAATGTATACAAGATAACAAAAGCTGCAAAGTAAGTGGAAAAGAAAGATCCTACGTCACTATGACTGGCAGGATATCTCAGACTGGCTAAAATGACTGATATACAAAAAAAGGGTTTATTATAATTTATCTGTTGCACGGCTCAAGTCCTGGGGTCCCAACTGGGCCTTCTGTGGTATCCCAGCCAGGTGGTTTTAAGTA